TGTAAAACTTCTACTTAGAACTTCTACCACAACCTATAGAAACAAACACTGCAGCCCCGTTGTTGTTTTTTTTGGACCCCCCCCTCAAAGGGTGTTGTTGTCTCTTGTTGCTTGTTGCTTGTTGTTGTTTTTTGGACCCCCCCCTCCAGAACAACACCTCAAAAACACTAAAAACGGACCAGCCCAGACTTCAGTGAAACAAGTCCAACAAGTCCACCTACTTACGAGACCAACATTCGCTCAAACCTTCAACCGTATCCCTAACCTTGTCCCCTTGGAGTTGCAAAGTTACAACATGTGACATGTGGACGGCTGTTTTTGTTTCTACCAACAACAACGACAACAACAGCAACAACACCAACAACAAACAAACACACAAACAAACACACACCCACAAAAACAAACAAACAAACAACAAACAACATGTAGCAGTTGGTCCAGGGCCGAATGGGTTGCTTCTGGGTATATCGTCGTGCATCGTCCATTCATGCAGTACCAAAAACATTCACAGGATCAGCCCAAGAAGTTGGCCTCGAAATGAGACTCTACGGGACTGGCAGTCCATGATACTCCCGAGAATGGGCTGTTTGAAGGGGGAGCCTTGTAGGTACATCGGTCCCATGGACTATCCTGTGTAATCTATACCCTTTGAGGAGGTGATCGGAGATTCTGTTATATAGGCGCCACGAGGGCTCAATCACCTTCTCAAAGGGTATGTGGCTCCCTAGGGATGGTGATTCTAGGTTTAAGGTGACCCTCTTCTTCTCCGAGTTTTTTGAGCCGATCCTGACTGAGTTTTGGACCAGCCAGTGATTCTTGTCGTGGTATCCATATATGCACATATTCTACCAGGCACTGACTGTAGATAGGTCAACAATGCTTCGACCTGGGCCCATGTCTAAGCCTGGACAAAAGACCTGGCAGTGAGGCTACAGGTGGATGACCTCAAAAAGGGTCATCTTAAGGAAATTGACCATCAACAATCAACCGTGTGGTTTTGGGCACCCTGTCCATGTTCCACCATCGGAACCGCCCACGGGACCCGGGTGGCACGAGTCCCGCCACCGGTGGAGGAAACACGGAAGGAAACAGCGAAGGAAACAGCGAAGTAGTCGAGTCACAAGCTGCTACTCTAAGTGACACTCTTAGAAGACCAAGCAGTCGAGTCACATGTTCCCAAGGACGTTCCCACTGTCCATGCACATGAGACCATGTTGAGACCCGAAAACCACCTTCGTCCCCCAAAAGCTCGGTCACGCCGTCGTTGCGGAGAGAGAAACGGGCTTAGCCGAGCGAAACGAGCATCCGGCAGGATGCTTCCCATCGACGAAATCAGCGATCCCCAAATAGATAGAACCGGTTTCCATGCTATTTTTGGTGGGGATCTACTTTTCTATCTAACTGGGGGTCTATATATAGATTAACGTTCAATCTTTGGCAATCCTCCATCTGCCCCTAAGACGCCGGCCAATACTTCCGATACTTTGGAAGCGGCACTTTCCCCTGCCCGCGCTGCTGGCTGCTGTTGATAACAAAGAAACACATGGTTGTGACTCAACATCACTGAAAGTATATATACCCTCCCTGAAACAATCGTGGAAGTATATACCAACCACCGGTTTGTAGAGGAAAAGAGTCTTCCAAGAGGTCATGTTCCGCTTCCATGTTTGTTGGAGGGAGGGTAGTATGTTTATTATATATAGTGTATATATATAATTATAGATGTATGTAGTATTGTATAGTATATATATAGAGTATTGACCCATGTGGAACACTTGAGCCTAAGCTCACCCTGAAGAAAATAACATAATATCTACGCGGAAGGTGCTCCAGGAACCGGTGGAACACGGCCTAATAGGAAACGTAAAACATCGGTGTATCCAGTGTATATATCTATACCTGGACCATCCTGGACCGGGGCCTCCAATAGACTACCCTTAGGGAGGTCTCCTTGTGGGCCTACATACTCGGACTGGATGGTCCTGGTATACATTGATATTCACCATGTTCTTGTTTTCGATGCTTCTATATACCGATGAGCACATCTTCTGCGTCCACATCATGGGCACCGATGGTCCATCCCAAGAAAAACGCCCCTAACACCTCAGTTTCAGATACGTCGGTGGAAGGTGAAGGTCTTCTTCAGGTATTTGAGCGTTCTTTTGTTTTCTTGCTGGAAGTGAAGCCTAAGGTGATGGTCAAAGTTCTATTTTTCGGGTATTCGGGGTGGTTGTTTGGAGTTGTTTTGGGGTTTGGTCTTCATATTTTTTGTGGCCTAGAGTTGTCTTGTGTCCTTCACATGCAAGAAGCAACTTCGGAATTGGACACTTCCACTGGGAGCCAGTTGAGATTAAGACGTTTGTGCACAGAACTGACTTTCTCAGTATCCCTGGAAAATAGGTTAGTATTTTATAGTCTTTTTCCACCTGTTCAAGTTGGATTTTAGTGGGGTGTCACCAATCAATCCCCAAATAGATTGAAGGACACACTTTTCCTGGGTAAAAACAGTACAAGAACAATCAAGAACACACTCAATGACACATCATGACCTCATGCACGATCGTGAAGTTTTGAAGACTCACCGGCTGGGGCGACATGCCATGCACCAGTGAAGCAACGAAAGGATAATCAAGGCTTGAGCGGTTTTCAAGCCATCACATCTTGGACGCTATCTGCTCGGTTCGCTTCTCGTCTTCAAGCCATGGACTTTCAGCGGACCGATCTCTGTCCCAGAACGAAGGCACCGAAGCATGGGGAAAACCACATGCACCACGCACCGACTCAGAGAAGACAAAACAAAGAAATACCGACTCAAAGGACTGGAAGATGATTCTTGCGAGCTTAGCGGCTGAATGCGGGCCTAGCTCTGTGACTCGGTGGGAATAGGTGGGAGGTCGAGTCGTTGGGTCTACACCCACCCGAACCTGGTCGAGTCCTGGGGGAGGTCCAGGGGGGGGGGGCCTACATTGACCCCTGAAATCAGCATCGGCCCAACAGTCTGGGTCGCATCTGGGTTGTCCTGACCGCCCTAGCTCCGGTCATCGGTTCGGGCCAGGGGTGGGTGGGTCTTGGGGGATCTGTGACCGGTCACCGGGTCGGAGATGGGCCGAGACAGGAGCCCTACCAACAGGGCCAGACTGTGACGCCACCCGAAGTGAAGACGACGACACCTAAACACTCCAGGTCTTCCATGCATGCATAGTATCTACCCCCATTTATGACCCGAAAATGTGGACAACTATCTCTGTCAGTCCCATGCATTTTCTGTAGCTCAACAAGCACTCAGAATCCTTCCTTCCCAAGGCTCCTTCCATACATCAAACATGCAACTCAGGGCAATGTGCTTACTCCGGCGCTGGAGAGCCTGGAAGAGATGGGTTACTCATGGTGAATCATCTTCCACCTCTTGGATGTTGGAGATTCTCGGTATTTTGGTGGGGTGTGACCCCAATCCCAAAAAGCTGGTTAAAGGTCGTAAACCTTCGTCTTTTACATGAAAAGAACACACACGGGTAAATCAGATGTAAAGAACGTAACCTGAATCTCTGAAGACTGAGTGTAGGGATCCTTCCAATGCAAATCCATCAGCGCCGCGCTGAAACCGCTCGCACCTCACTCAACGCCCACGTGCGAGGCGCCATGGCGTCTCTGTCACCAGGCTCTCCGGCCGGCTCTGGGAGAAAAATGGCACGGCCAGAAGCGATTCATCTGCGGATTCACAAGATTGACCCTGGGATCTTAGGTCTGAGAAAGCACGAAGAAAGCAACAAGAAGCAACGTGTGGCTTTCCAGGACACCTGTTCAGGGGTGCCAATGGGTGGAAAGGGGTGTACATTAAAAAAAAAGCCGGAATGGGCTCCAAACAGCACGGCCTGCACGGCACAAAAGAGACCCTATAGTGTTATTTGTTGATTCAAAGAGTTTTCTGAGAGAGCGGACACTTGGGATTGACTCGACGATCAGACCGAAGTGGCCTTCGGTAAAAAGGCGGACGTTGGGTGGACCCTTTTCCAGCACGGATGTTGGGTGGTTTTTGGATGGAAAATGCATGAACATACATTCGTGTTTGGGCTCCTGGCCGCCCCCTCCGGCCATCGCTTCGGGCCAGGGGTGGTCTTGGGGAGTCGAAAACCCACCGATCACCGGGGTGGGTGGTCTGGGACGAGATAGGAGCCCTGTCCGGGCACAGTGAGGCGTACTCCATGGTCACCACCACCCTAAACTCCATGGAGCTGGTTCAATTCCACCGTGGTGAAAAAGGTCACCAAATAGTCAGCTGCCAAGCGATGCGGTGAAAAAGGCCATGGGGCGCCCCAGTTGGACGACGGATGGACGTAGGACGACGCTTCACTTCGATCTGGGGCGCCCAGTAGCCACTCAACCAGGTGTCCAATGTTTCCGAAAGTAGATGCACAAGGGAGATCAATTGTGCAAGTAATGTTTCTTCAGAGATTGAATATGTATGAATATGTGCAATAGTTACTGTATATAGTTCTATCATCTTTTTTGGAGATCGTTTTACATCAACGATGTGCTTTCCGCAGTTCTTCCACGGCTGATGTGAAACGCCCAAAGATAGGAACACCATCCAGGATACCAATGCACATTAATCAAGTGTAGGACCACGCAGTCCATGTGAGTTGCTTGTTGGAACCCCCTGGACAATGGTTCTAAAATTTGAGACCAACCATGACCAACCCTTGACCAACCTGGCGGACATGAGAGGCCTCACCTGAGCCTGAAGATGAGTGACCTCTCCCCGAAGACGGCTCTAGCAGCTTCTTCCAAAAAGGCAAAAAGGGGCCCTCGTTTTCTTTCTAGATCCACTCTCCGAGCATCATCAATCCTGGAGAGGGCATAAACATAATCCATAGAATGTCATTCACTCTCCATAATCCATGAACATCCTATGCCCTCTCACCATCCTACGAGTGTGAATCCCTTGATCACCCTGGGAACAAAGCACCGGAACTCCACCGCAGCAGGCCGAGCTCCCTTGCGGAGCATGTGGCCAATCGACGCGCCTGCCGAAAAAAATATTAAAAAAACACGTGTTGCATACCACTCAGAGCTGCGTCGGACGGGGTGACAGTGACTCTGTCGAAAGTTGTGCAGTGGATGGACTCGACATGACTCTGTCACCCGGTCTTCGGTCCAAATGGAGTTTTTAGGACTGTGAGCAAACACCGCCATTCATGATCTCTAGTGAGGTAAGAAATAATGGTACACAGTGGGTCTCCAGTGAGGTACCCTCACTGCCAGGTCTTTAGTTGAGGGTTGCAACGGTCCCAGTGCCCAGGTCGAACCATTGATGAATTGTCTTCATCGGGGTCCTGGCATACTCTGAATCCCTATAGGCCTCCAGTCGTACCTTCGTTTCGGTTCGGTGGGACGACCGGGGCCCGGGTGCCCAGTCGGGTCCAGGAGCTACCGAAGCCGCTTCGGTTCGGTACGACGAAGATCGGTGTAGGGAATGTGGGTGTGTCCCAAACTGATGGGATCGATCAGTCCTGGCCTACCACGAACCCACGCCCAGCTCTGCGGTTCATATTCCTTAAGGCTGGGGGTCGCACCCAAAGTGAGACTATCCTGGTAGGTTGACCATGTCTCACTTGGCTTAAGGAACGAGAACAAAAACACATCTTCGAAGGGGATGCATCCATAGGGATTTAAACACAAGCAGGCAGGGTCCTACGATGCAAATCCAGGCTCTATTCTGTTACATGGTGCGGTGCCTGGTGCCATGACGGACAGTCCGAGTCTGCAGTCGTCATAGACGAGTGGTTCGGCGACTGGCGACCTTCGGCGGCCCCAAACGTACGTGTTGGATCCTGCTTCGGTGCCAGGGGTCTCTCCGTTGCAGGCGCGCTGTCGACTGGGGAGGGATGAACGCACATGAAATGGAGCGCTGCTACTTGGACCGCTGTTGGGGAGAACTGGAGGGTTCCAGGTATGGTGAACTCCGAGAGAAGGTTGCCATGTTCTTTGTGAACATGGCAATCTTCTGGTGTTTGGTAGTTCCCTCCATACCTCGACAGCGTCTAGGCCTAGGCCCTGGATCCTCATCCCTCCACAAACAAACCCAAATCCTAATCAGAAACCAAGGGTCCCGTCTGACTGAATCACAGTTTTTTCGGCATGATCCGCCGACATTGCGCCTCTGGACCCGGCATGGCTCAAGGCTGATCAAAAAAATCCCTCTGTGAAGCGGCACAAATAAGCCAGATATGACCATCCGGACCTCATGGCATGGACATCATATGTTTCAAGAAACGATTCCTCTTTGTCGGTCTGGGCGGGTGGGAAGTTGTTCATGGTTGATGCATGATCTGTGATGGTACCTGGCACCGAGATAGATGGGTGCTTGCAATTGATGTTCTTCCTGCGGAACATGTCTAGTCAGCGATATGTTCTTATGTCTGTTCAAGTGCCAAACGATTCTCCATGACACTGTCAAAAGAATGCTGGCACAACTTGGTTGATCCTCTATTGCCCCACTTCAAATGAGGGCAGCCTGAGCCAAAAACGCAAAGCAACAACGGGGCGAGGGCGACTGCAACCAACCGGTGGGGAGCATGACCAGTCCACATCCAGGCCACCTGAAATCAAATAGAACAATTGGACTAACAATTGGCTATCTGGGGGCCAAATGTTCCCAGATTTGTGTGAAATGGGTGAATTCCCAACCGACTAAAGTAATCAAAACAGATTGAAACCTTGTCAGAACCTGTGAGAAGTGGGGAATGAACACAACCTGAAATTGACTACGCGTGCCCAAAAAGTGTACCACCACTACTACCACTACCACTACGACGACGACGACGACGAGGACCATGACTACTATTACGACAACAACAACAACAACAACAATTACTACTACTGCTGCTGCTACTACTACTCCTCCTATACTCCTATTTCTACTACTACTCATGCGTGATTTTTTTTAAAGCACATACTCCTATTTCTACTACTACTCATGCTTGAAAAAATACAGCACAAGCCGGACATTTACCTCCTTGATTCCTCCCCTTGGCGTCTCCATTTTGCATCAAAGGCCGGGCATTCTGATGTGGTCTGCTCGGCGAGAAAAAATAGCTGTGCTGCTAAACTAAGATGCAACATGACGATCATGGAGTGAAACGAAAAGCTAGGGACAAGGTCGGCCTGCTATATGGAAAAACAATAACAAAAACGATACACGATGAGGGTCCAAACAACATTGTCATGCAAAAATCCATATCTTGTTCGTAAATGGAAAATGCTAGGGTATAATGTCTATATACAAATTTTATGCACATGCATACAAATAGATATATATATATATATATTATATACAATAGAAATATACAATAGACATATACAAGTGAAATTCCAATGTCTATGACCACCCAACATGGATGCACACATTCCAACATACAACCCCCACAATGTGCTGGTTTCGGCCCTTGCAAAGACCTTTTGGGTGAATCAGGGTATCTTCCAGGAAAGCAATGATATGAACATACTCATGTCCATAGGCGAGAACTACATATACAAATATGTTTCTATATATATAGTTATTTTACAGAGTGGATGTACATGCCAATGAAGAAGAGTTGCCGCGCAGTATGAACAAGTGAACCCGCTTGAAGTCCGTGTCCCGTTGGTTTCTTCGCATCGTCGAGTCGTGTCCAGTCTTCCAGAGACGCGGACCATTGGCACCATGGAGCCCGCCGGGGTTCAAAGGGAACCATGCTGACCCCAAGCCTAACATCACCGGATAATTGAATTTAACCGAAGATGTCACCTATTGCGGTTTTTAATGGGGAACACTATCCCCAAAACATAGTTGATCATATTTATATACGTTTATCCACTGAATGGGTAAACCTAAAGTGGACCCTTCGACTGGCATGTATATGCATGAGCCAAACACATTTGCAAGGGTTATATGTTTCTTTTCGAGTGTATCAGTTTGTCTTTAATGATCGAAATACCTTGGGGCTCCCAAGCCTCGAGTCATGTGTTTGGAGTCTGCCAAACAAATTTGCTCAAAACCAAGAACAATATCACAGGACCCGACAGGCAGAACTTGCCTCCGAACATTCACATCTGCCCTGCACCTTTAGCTTTGAAACTGGGTAAACTTCATGCCGATGGGGATCCCTTGTGTTTTTAAGGGTTGCATGAAAATAGTTCGACGAACAAGCGGAAAGAAACAGCACGAAACGAGAAACACAATCCATCTCCAATTCTTTCATGGAATCTTTTCTCAGGCCCCCAATGAATCCAGTGATGTTCAAACGGTTTTATCTCAGATTGCACATTTCTTGAATAACACCTTGGTCAATGCATGTTTAAAACAAAGCCTCCGATCACCCCGGGTCCGGAGACCACCACGGACACTTCACCGACTGACAAGGCACTGTGCAACGTCACGCTTTTGAGGCATCAGAGGATGGACAGTGACCAGCTTTTGGGTCCCTTTTTCTTAAATGGTCAGGAGATCAGAAGTTGCTATGACCAGTTTCGGGGGAACGTTGATATGATATATGCCCATTCCTGCTTTTCGTTGCTTACATCATGTTTCTGAATGTCGGCAGTGGGCAGAGTCGGCAGATCTTAGGAGACCCTTTTCCACCGCCATGCATGCTCTACAGTTTGGCTTTCCTCCATTCCATGGTGACACCTGCAGCGTGATTCTTCCTTGTGATTGCTCTCCTGAGCGATGGATCTTTCTGGTTGTGGCCAAATGTCTATCCTGGGATTGAATTTTCTTTGCTTGGTGATGCCGATCTGAGACACAAAGGTCAAGGGTTTCCTGCGCAACCTCGAGTTGAACCTGGCCACAGACTCACGTAGGATGAAGCTGAACTTGGTTTCCAGAGATTCTCCTTGAACCGGCAGGTGTTTCCACCTTCTGTGCCAAGCAAGGTGGCACGAGCTGCTGGAATATGAATATGCTGTACGAGCGCCCTTCTGCTATGCCCTGTCTTTGGACCACCGAGCTGCATCGAAGCCGTCAGTGGAGGCACGGCAAGTTCCGTGAAGGCAGTTGACAGGGTGGACGTGCGCTGGGTGATAGTTCACTCGGAGCACTTTGTGTTCACCGCTTCCGCTGACAATGGGGACTGACACTTGGCGAGCTCAAGGTGAAGCACACGATGGCCACGATCCGCTTACAGCCTGGCAGGTTCAGATGGATTTGCAACCGGAGCCTTCACACCACCTGGGCACGTGCTAAACAATATTGATAGCTTCTGTGGCAACATCAGTCGTTTTCAATGATGGAGTGTTTGACACTTGGCAGTTCAAACTTGATTTGGCTGGCCAAAAGCCAGAGGTGGTGCATCAACTGTCAATCTTGATGTGCGCAACACCTGTGCGATACAGTTGGTGCCCCGTTCCTGGCCCACGCAAGGCTCGACAGGCCAGGGGCACACTGACCGTTGGTATGATTTTCCCTTCTTGTGACAGTCTTTTTGTCGAGTGCTAGCTGCTAGCATGAGTTTAGCAGACATTGAGTCACATAAAAATTGGTTGTCTTTATCTGGATCTTGTTGAGCAGCAGGCACCAAACCTGCTTAAGTTAATGGCTTTCCGTGGCCTGCAGAAACTTCATGGAAGGCGGCTGGGGACGAAAAGATGTGGGCAAAGCAAACCACTGGCTTTGAACCACGGCACTGCCTACGCTGTGTCTTGGTGCTGAAAAACGTCTGAGAATACGTTTATGAGTGTCATGTTGCAGGCAACCTCAACAAGATGGATGAACATGGGTGCATGTTTATGACGTGTCAAAAAACAGATACATCCAACATGTCAAGAACGCATCGACGTGGCCATTTTCTAGAGCAAGTGTCACTTTATCTGCGTGCTTTAGGATGACAAGAACCTGGAAAGAGTTCACTCGCTTCTCAGTGGATCTCTGTCACTCTTTGATACTCTTTGACTCCCAGGAGTAGAAGATTTCATCATGATATAATCCCTAGGGCTCCTGGCCCATCTCCTCAGGTTCGGTGGTTAGACGCCTCTGGCACCCACCCCAACCATCTTCCTGAATCATCCGTACATATCCGTGTCATCCTTGTCACCTCTTTCCTCTTGCTCCTCACGGTCTGCCTGCTGGAATACCTTCTATCCAAGGCTTGTCAGGAACTTGTCAGGGTAGCGACCTATCAATAATCCTTGAAGATCAGCTCCATAAAGGCTGTTCTACTCCAAGTTGGGTCTCTTGATGTCTCTTGGGGCCCGGGGCCCTCTATAGAGGATGGAGATAATAGCCATGACGCCCTTCCTGCCCTAAAAGAAGATCAACACTTTGTGATGCTGGACACTGCTCTTAATGCTTATAAGGTCCATGAATCAAAAAACATCGCCGTTTCACTCCGACTCACGGCAGTGGACGGGTCACTGGCCTCCGGTACGAAGACAGGGGGGGGTCACTTCCAGCGAGTCGGAGTGTTTTTTCTCGATTCTCGATAAGTATGCTGAGTTGCCTCCTCGTACTTCCGGAAGCCCGACCGGAATGAGCTGAACGGGCCGGTTCCTGGGATGACGATTCGTGGTCATGATGATCGTCTGTTGAACTAGTAGATCGTCTGTTGAACTAGTAGCAATGCCCTTGTTACTAGTAGCGATGCACTTGTTACGAACGTAGCAAGAAGCTACTATTCCATCATCCAAGAGATCATTCCTGAAGGGTGGGGTGATGACCAAAGACTGCGGAATCTACTGGTCTTAAGTTGTGTCTATCGGACGTGGGACTTGAGCAGTCCAGTCTCAAACAGACCCATTGCCAAAGGAGCCCAAACAAGCTCCCCGCCACTGTCCACTTTACAGCCCTCCGAGTGGAGCCATGACATCTTGACCCCTGCCGTGCCAGCGGACCATCTGTCGGGAAACCAGGTTCCCAAGTGACTGGTCAGGAGCTACTCCTGAAGTGACTGGTCACACTCTGCTCTGAAGTCCCGCGCCAAGCTTCGTAGTGCTACACTGCTCATTTGGGTGTGTTCCCAAACCCAATCAGTTTGTCCGGTCAAAGTATGCAATGTCTCAATGTTCTATCTGATTAGCTTAGTGGTTCAATCACTTGACATCAAACGGCATTCTATACCTGGACCCCGAAGGGTGGTTCATGGACAACCCTTGACCTCTAAGGGACTTATACAATGGACACCCTTTCCGTGGTGCTGGTACTGGATGTCTTGGTGCGGTAACATTGAACTTTCCCTAGAAGTCAGTTCGACCTCATTTTAATGGAGATGGTCATGCAAAACCCATA